CCTTCAGCAAAGAAATGGGAGGCAGGAGTGAGAGAAATCAGGCAGGAGGCGGAAACCACCTGGCCCCTGACCGCGTCGTCAGAACTTGGAGAGATGCGGAAAGATGACAGCCGCCAGCCAGGTGAGCGGATTGCTCCCTCGCTGCTCTGATGCTGGGATAGCAGGGCCAACAGTCAGCAACTGGAAGGTAAGGAAGCCCAACAGTGCCTCCAACGGGCCCCAGCAAAGCCCAGATAAGGCCCGGGGGCGCTCTGGAGGGTAATTAGGGGCCTTTGTAGGGACTGTCCCCAGAGCTGGACGCAGTACTGCAGGTGGGGTCTCGCCAGAGCAGAGCAGAGGGGCAGAATCACCTCCCTCGACCTGCTGGCCACGATTATTGTTATGCAGCCCAGGACACAGTTGGCTTTCTGGGCTGCGAGCGCACAGTGCCAGCTCATGTCCAGCTTTTCATCCACCAGTACCCCCAATCCTTCTCTGCAGGGCTGCTCTCAATCCCTTCATCCCCCAGCCTGTATTGATACTGGGGGTTGCCCTGACCCAGGTGCAGGACCTTGCACTTGGCCTTGTTGAACCTCATGAGGTTCACATGGGCCTCCAGCCTGCACAGGTCCCTCTGGATGGCATCCCATCCCTCAAGTGAATCAACTGCACCACTCAGCTTGGTGTCATCTGCAAACTTGCTGAGGGTGCATTGTGTGGTAGCAGTGCTTATTCGAGCCCTTCCCTTGCAGCAGGTAGATGAGGTATGTCAGCATCCTGGGGTGACCTCCTGACAGGTAGTTTCTGCAGCTGCCTGTATCCACATGTTCCCCTCACCACTGAGTGATCAAGCTTGTGAGGGCCTGTTAGGATTTTTGGTGTAACTCATTGCTGAAATGGTAAACTCTGTTTTCCATCAAAACTGAAATTCCATTCATTTGATGTTCAAGTTCAGCTGTTGTTTGAACTAGCACAAGCTGTGTCCCTGATCCAGGGCTGAAATCAGCTCATCTTAACTCACAGTACTCCTGGGTTATTAGCTTGTCCCTTACCGACGTCTCATTAGCTGTGTTCTCCAAAACTTCTGTAGGCAAACTACCTTGCCCCACAGAGATGAGAAGAGCTCCTTCATGGATTTCATGGGTCATGGCCTGAGGAAATGAAGGCTTCAGAGGCAGTGGTCTACGAACTTCTCCCCAGAGCCCCCCCTCTGTGCCACATGCAGTTGGGCCACAACAGGATCAGGGAACTGAATCAAATTTAGAAGAAAAATCTTTATTAGGCTGGGGGGACATGTATGTTTAATTCTGTTCCTGTTGATTTCAGAAGAAACAAAATGTGTTTCCTCTTCACCTGGGCTCTGACTGTATGGAATTCATTTAGCTTTTGGAAGAGAAGAGACTTAAGGTGCACAAATCAAGACAATATGAAAAAACAAAATGATTCTCAAAAGGATTTTAATGAAATTCTTCTCTTTTATTTGAATGGTTGCCATATTTAGATAATTAAGTAGAATTGTCATAGGAATGAAAATCATCTTTCCCTTCTTCCCAAGGAATCCGAAAAATGTCACTATGTACAGAATTTACAATTATATGCAACAGTTTATTGTTATTCTGGACTCCAAAATTTGGGATCACAGGTAAAAATGGCCACACCAAAGCTAGAGCAGGATGTGTCCATCCTGTACCTTTCACAATGTTCTGTGAACTTTACCAGTATACTTTCAAAATGATAGCTCTTCCAAGGATGAGCTTTCCTCACCTGAGATCTTGCTCTGTATACAATTTTCATAATCCACAGCCTAAATAATTAAATTGTATTCCTTTTAGAGCAGGTGAGAAGTCAGGCAAAATGGACCAGATGAGCAGATGTGTTTAGATTTCTGTTTTCTGTTGGTGTCAGATGAAAGATGATATAAAGCAGGTGTAAAAAAAATAATCTAATGATAAATCAGTAGATGTTAGGCATCTAGTAACTTTGGGATTTGGATGGAAATCCTTCATTTCATGAATTTTCTTAGTAATTTTTGCCTTTCACTTACAGAAGTTTCCTTCGTTTTCATGGATTATTTGGCAGAAAGTCTTTGTGTTTTGGTTCAAGCTGCTGAACCTCTGTAACTCCCTCTGTAACTGTATTCGACAGCCACTACAGACACCGAGTTTCTCTTTAAAAATTAGAAACCTTGAAGAACTCTGAAATACTTCTGAAATACAGCATCGTTATCTCTAACTTAACGTTCAATCAAATGTCCACTGAGAGAATTTCTAAGATCCACATGCTATTAAATGAATTGGAACTCAGTCCTGGTGTGTTAATAGTAGGACTTTGCTTCTTTACTCAGCTTCATTTTCCAGTCTGAATCTACACGGCTGCTCTGCAGTAAGGAAAATTGCTCTGAGCTGGTGGGATCGGAGGTTTGTAACAAAGTGTGCTGGAAGGCACCCATGTTGCTAATGAGTGGAAGTGAGTATACGGTGGCTGCAAGATGTCCTCCATAACCTGAATTGTCGGTCTCAGTCCATGTCATGGTTAGCAGGTCCCTTCCGAGAAACCTTGGGAACAGATGTCCTTGCTGTGCACCTCAAGCAGACAGCTCTGAGACAGTGCAGTGGTAGAAACTGTGCTTCCCCGTCAGCCCTAAAGGAGTCCTCCTAAATCACGATTAAGGTGCGATAACAGCATGAAGGTAGACTGCTGCTGCCAGCATCGCCTCAGTTTGGCACATAAATAGCAGCCTTCAGTCCCCTTATGCAAGTGCATAAAATGCATAGTAATAAACTGTGACTTACCCCACTTTCAGGTGCCTGGCCGTATGAAAAACAGTTAACCACCTAAATCTACTGCTACACAAATATGCTACCAAGGGCAGGTGATAGGCAGCAGCAGTGTTGCACTGTGAGCAGCATTATTTAGATGCATTCTTCCTGGAATCATGATGCACTCAAGGTTTACATGTTAGCAGGCTTGGCTTTTTAATTAGGGAAACGAAGCATCCATAAGCAGCAAAACAAAACAAGAGGCTTGAAATCATCCTCATTTTGTATTATACAGAATTTCTATATTCATCAGTACACAAGCGATTGCTAAACAGGTCCTCGCTACATTTACTTGCAATTCAAAACAAGGTGGTTATTATGCAAACAGGTTAGCTTTGTGGAGGCATCTCCAGGGTGAGCTTAACCCTGTCCTGTTTGGTTCCTCTTGTCTGAGTCTTATAGGTCTGTAAATGTTCATGTTGTTGTACAGAACTGCGGAGTTATCGGCCACATAGTGTGGCTGATAGTAGTTAGCCTGGATGGCCTTCTGTGGTGGTGGGGCTGTGAATGAGACATAGCTGTGGAAGGAATTAACTCTATGGAGAGGTGACTGGGGGGTGAAGTTGCTGCTGAATATGAGAGTTCTTGGGGTTTGCTTGGTCTGGTGGGTGCTGCCGGCTGAGAGGCTGCTGAAGGGATCAGAAAGAGTGTTAGCACTTTCCTCGTTGCTGTAGGGAAGGCTGCGCTGGGGAGCCCAGCTCCTGCTGAACAGGAAGGGCATGGTACGTGGTGGAGACTTTGGTCCCCTCACAGGCTTGGACAGTGCGTAAAGGTGTCGGAACTCTTCATCAAACAGCTCCACAACTTGACCCGTGAACTTGGAGAGGAGGTTGCGGTGAACCTGGCCGCATAACCATGTGAAGCTGGAAGGAGAGACAAGGTGAGGGTTAGCATTAATGTCAGCTATTAGGAACTGGACATCCCTGCAGGGGTGGTGTGAAAGGCAAATGTGTTTTACTGCTGAAGTTCCTTGTCTAAACACAGGAGGAAGATGGTGTCGCAGTTGAATTTCAGGTCAGTTCACATCAGTGCTCTTTGACTTGGATCAAGCTTTATTATTGCAGCTGCCTCTAAAACCTTCAAGAAACCTTGTAAAGTTATACAATCTCCTAAAGGGAGCGGTGATCCAGATCCACTGCAGGACTAAATGTCAGATACAATACCCAAGGTTTGGGCATCTGTTCCATGGAAAAGAGTTTAGACCCCTCTTTTGGGTATCTCTCTTTCATGCACAATGCTTAAATTCAGGTCTTGCCACGTCTTGTCTGCACACACATAAATTGTACCTTCCCTGCAGAATGCTGCGCCAGTTGGTAACTCTCACTTACTCAGAACTGACATTAGAAAGACTAGTGAAAAATAACCATCCTTTGTTTTTATTTTGCCACACTTTTCCTGCATTGGTCAAGAGAAACACATAAAAAGCCAACCTGTCACATCCCACTCCCACTAAACAAATTGCCACACCTGACAAATGCTTATTTTCTTCATTACAGAGAAAATTAAATTATAAATATTTCCTACAGCCTTTCCAAAAATAAAAATACCACGTTGCTATAAAGTAAGGGAGAAACACTTGAAATAGTTTTCATTCTGGTAATCCAGAGACACACCTTAGGATACCCCATAGTTCTTAAATGATTTTTCTTTTGTGTGCTTCCTTAATCCACTCAGCAAACATAAATTTGTGCTCTTTTACAGAACCACAAGCCATCTTGATTGTGCTGTGCAGCCTGCCTTGTCTGAGCATCATCATCATCATCAATAAAATGAGCACAGTTGAGAGAATGAAATGTAATTACTCCCTGAGCTGACCAGGGCTCAAGCTGTGCAGCAGAGGATACAGAGCAGTGTTGGACTTGAACCTGAGGTTATTCTGTGTTGGCAAAACTCTGCCATGGTTATTCCTGCGTGACTTTATTAGCTACGCTGGATGTGCACAAGGATTGCTGAGAGGCAGATTTGGCTGTAGGTGTGTGCACTTTAAATCTTGTTCTTGTCATGTTTTGGCAAAACTCCTGTGAAACTCAGTGGGACTGACAGCCTGAGCTGATGCTAAGGGAATAAAGACAGACAATTTGCATCTGCCTGTTTGGAGCATTCTTAAAGAGGGTTGGGTTTGGGGCATAGAGTGGTTTTATACTGTTGCTTCAGGAGCAAGGGGAGGAGTGAAGAAATCACTAGTTCAATGCCACCAGGCAACCCTACAATATATACTGTACATTTTATGATTGGACATGAAAATATACAGTAAGTTACCAGAATACAGGCACTTCTCATCTACTTTGTTCAAATCATTCTAAATACGGACAAAACCTTGGGAGCCGAGGTAAACAGCACAGCAAGCTAACTCCCTGCTGTGTGGGTAGCATCTGCTGTGCTAGCTCAACATTGCCTTTATTCACTAAGAAGCGCTCTCTAAACCTTCGCATGTCCTTCATCTAACTGTTAAGGAGATAATAAGCCAGGAACAAACACAAAACCACGCAATTAGTCTGGGATATCTATGCTGAAGGTTACAAACTCATGAAAGGGCTGAGGTGTGGAGTGTCAGGTTTATACTTTATGTGCTAGAGATATATCTAGTTTATAAAAGAAAATTTAGAGAAAAAAAATCAATTACACTTACAAATGGCTTTTAAAAACCCAATAAAATCAGAGGAAAAAACTGTTGCACCCAATTTTGATAATTTACTCCCACACGTAACTTCCTGCAGTACCCGACGGACAGATACTCATTTCTGGTTCATCGATCTTATCTGTAACCCTTGTAAGCAGAGAAAGTTGGATCCAATTAATAGCCCAAAGATTCTCCATAAACTGATGGCAAATGGGTCAGCTGAAAAGTAACAAGGTGAGACCTGCGTGATTTTAGACAAACATTTGTGGACTTCACGTAGTGAGTCACAGCAATTTACATTCTGTGCACTTTGCTGAAGAACAAAGCAGAACTAGACATAAAGACTTAACAGGTTTTCATTAGCTTCATTCTAAGAGGAAATTCATTGTTTAGGTTTCAGGCCCTGTTTTGCTCCTTAGTTTACAATTCCAAGTGCTCTTTTGGGAAAGGCTCAGAGAGTTCTGTTACTGTCACTATCTGCCCAGAAGGATCATTTTTCTACCAGGCCTTTTTGAGTGAAGTACATCAGAAAGAAGAGAAAGCACAAAGAATTACTGCCTAGCTTGGGGACGAAGCTGTATCACAAATTCAGTCATTGATAGCTACTTCTCAGCTGTCTTTCCAGGGCTTTGTCCCAAGCCCCATGTCCTGTTCTGGATCCTCTCATTTATGATTGTCTGAATCAAAACCCGCCTCTCCTGCCCAGTCTGCACTGGACTTGTTTCTTTCTGAGTGTACCCTCTGCATTACTGCAGCTGCAGTTCATTAGAGATGCTCTCATCCCTTGTATTTACAGCACTACAGTAACATGCAGCATTACGCACATTTAATCTGAAATGGAAGGACTGGATTTTTCACCTGAGCTCGGGTTTGAATTAACCTACATGTTAGTGTTGCTCGCTGGTGGGATAACCTCTGTATGAGGAACCTGCCCCACCTGAACGGATACTCTCAGCAAAGCACCCCAGTGTTAGATGTTAGACGCTGGCTCTGAAGAGGCTGGTGGCTTTCAGAATGGCAGCCAGGGAGGTACGCAGCTGCCCCTGAGGATCACGGTCTATTCTTTCTGCTGTTTTCATTTTGCCTTCTTTAGGAGCACTGAGTTCATGCACTACCTAACTTAAAATTCTTTTTTAAAAAAAAGGAATAACATAGTTATCATAGGATGGGGTAGAGTAACAGAGAGACAGCAAAAAGAAATACTGCATCCTAACCTCACACCATAGACTTTGGCAATAAAAATTGAAAGGAAAACTGTAACTTAAAACACTTGCTCATGCCTGCACTTGTGCAGGCACGTGGGTTAAACAGCCTTCAGAAGCTTCTCAGCTCCAGTGTGCCCTGTGCAGCAGGACCACACTTATCCACGCTAACCCAAGCAATGGCTTTTTAACGTGGTTTTAAAAACCACTCCAGAGCAGGAGATGCCACAGACTCAGTGGTGGTTCCTTTGCCGCTAACTAGTTGCCAGCTTCAGTCCTCTTTGTTGCCCATTAGGCAAATATATTTTGTCCCTAAACACTCTGAGTAGAAAGAGTGAGCCAGGGTCCCTTTTAGTGCAGTATGTACGGAAGGGCTATTTTATTTCCTCAGCCTGTTCCGCCCACCAGTATTACAAAGTCATGCAGAGCACAGCACTTAAGTGAAATCTGCTGTTGTATTAAAGATCTTTTGTATTAGTTTTAAGATCTATTCCAATCTGATTTCCAGCAAATGGACTGCAGAAGAGTTTGAGTCTGTTTTACTCAACATCATTCTTGTTTACACCTGCAGAGGCTGGTAGATAAGGTTTAGGGATAACAGAAAACTTTCAGATTAATAAAGTGAGAGCTAGCAAGCCTACAGAAATGCCATGTACTGATAACCAGCTAGAACCCATGTGAATCTGCAAACTGGTGCTGAGCATGCTGAAGTTAAATAGTGTATAGATTTATTCCTCACCACCCTCTCTGCTTGCTTGCTGGATAGGGGATTACGTAGTTTGACAAGGCTCTTCAGGTTAGAAGATATTGCATCAGCAGTAGAGAATGACAGAAGTGACTCTGCGCAGGACTTTGAGAGTTTTTCTTTTTCTTTTTAGGATTGAAAAGAGAAGCCCAAAGGAAGCTTCTTGGCTAAAGAAAATAGATCTTGTTCTGTCCCTCTTCTCCCACACATCCTTCACTTCTACTCTCTATATAAATCTGCTGTTGCATTTCTACGCACCTTTGATGAGGGATTGAAAAAAAACTGAAAGAACAAGAAAATCACAGGGCAGCCAATAAAAAAAAACACTGAGTGTTCACTCATTTTTGTCTGATGGTTCATTTGGAAGCTGAATGAAAACTGGATGCTCGCCTCTGTGGACAGCTAAACTCCTGCAGCCTGCACTAACCCCATGTATTCACCTTTACCTTCATCACTATAGTTATGTAATCTTCCTGGTGGCACAGTTTTATCGGACTAGAGGCATTTAAGCTTCCAAACCATAAACTGGGATTAAGAAAAACAATCTCATCCTTTCAATTAAATAATCACCTCTTGTCTTTTTGTATCTTGATTTCTAGGATACACTCGGTCATTTGTGAAGCTATCTACATAGCCATGAGGCTCAGCAACGTCATTTATTTGATGCAAGCTCAGAGTCTCCTGAAATTCCCTGACTGGAAGATCTTGGATCTTAATTAAAACCCCAATTGTTGAGATACTGCATCCTGTACCCGACATAATTATAGCAGCACAAAAGTGGAAAGTTACAGACTCAGCTCACAAACAACAACAAAAAAGGAAATAAAAGGGAAGGTACAACAGTTGTGTAGATGCATACTGCCTATCTGTTAATGAAACACAAGAAAAAACAGGAAGTCTCTGAAGTATTTCTGTTTTACCTTTAATCACTAAACTTGTCATATGGAGAACAAATCCTCAGATAAGCTGAGTGACATATGCTACATTAAGGGATCCCGAGGGAGATGGAAATGTATCATGTCTCATGATAACAGCATCTGAGGACCCAAACAATAGGGAAAGCATAATATTAAGCTGTACACATTTCTAGTTCTGCTCCAGGGCTGCACTGGCAAAGTTGTTTGCATTAGTTTCTGAACATTTAAATTAAATACCACACTCCATAAAGAACTAACATCAGCTTAAAGCAAGTTAAGTGGATTACTGAAAAATGGCACATATTTGAAAACATGAGGGGGGTTTGTTCAAAAAAACCCTTCTCACCTGTACAAAAATTTCCATGGCACTTCTTTGTGAAGTAATATTAAAAATCATAAAAGAGCACCTGGACATGAGCTGCAATGGCTTATCTCACCTGTAAGATCCAGAGAGCACATATCTCCAGTCAGAGATAAGAAATTTTTCCTGTATTTGTCCTGAAAATTTCCTGCCTGATTTGGCACAGTAAACCTCTCCAGTAACACTGCGGACTGAAATATTCTGTAAAGAAAAAAAAAAAAAGAACAGAGTGAATTTTTTCATAATTAAAAATCAGAAGGAAAGGGCCCTTTCCCCTCACTGCCTTTAGCTCTTCACTTCCCCAGTGTTTATTATGACTTCTTCATAGACTCTCCAATGTTACATTTGAAGGTTTGGGGCTAGAGGAAACTTAGCCAAGGTCTCTCACCTGCCACAAGGTTACTTGTTTCAATGGGGATATAAACCTGCATGGAAAGTCATGCAGATGGAGCTGTGCTGTGTAACGATAACTGATGCTACCCCAACCAAAATGAGTGTGAGATGTGTCCATAGCTGAGAGCCGTCTGTTACCTCCGCTGACACCCCAGCAACAATTTCCTCTAGCTGTAAGCTCTCTTGTTTTACGCTGGCTATGGCACAATCCAGCAGGGCAAAACCTCTGCTCTTCCAATCCATCTGGGCCTGCAAGTGCATACATGCTGCCCAGACGAATGCTGTCCTGCAGAATCAGATGCAAATACATGTGTGAGTGGAGAAGCAGGTCAATTTGGCCCATGTGATGCTCTGCACTGTCCTTGTACCTGAGCAAGTGCATTTAAGGCAGGCCAGGCACCCACACCTGACTCTGCTGTCCATACACACCCTTTGCAGAATCAAGGCCTTAGAAAATGAGAGGCACCAAGGATCTGGCTCACACATTGTCGAAGCCTGTGCATTGTAGCAACATACTTAGAATAAATAGCACAGGCTTGTTCTTCCTAAGGAGCAGGGATTTACAGACATGCAAACACTGTTATAAGCATGTTCTATTAATTTGAGTTTCTTTATACATTTGGGGTGGAATTCAGCTGCTGAAACACAGGTGTCTGGTGCATGTCTCCTGCCTGCCCTCCAGCTGCCATTCCAGGAGGCTGTTGTGTCTGCAGTAGCAGCCATCCCCACGAAGGTGCCACAGGTGCCCTACAGCATCTCAAGCAACAAGTGAAATGGTCCCTAGGAGGTTATTTTTAAGGTCAGTTCCCTCCGGCAGAGATGAAGGTGGGCTAAGCTAACAGCCAGCTAAATTTGAGGCATTATCTTTAAAACAGAGCTTTAACAACAGGTTTTATCAGAAACCACTTACTGCAACCAAGGTATTGCCATGAAAAAGTTTCATGTGCCTGCTACCCATGGCTGCCAGACCACAGCTGCTGTGGAGTTATCAAACAGAAGCAATTGTAATGCTTATGTTGGACAACTCTACTACGGGACTTGACTTAACTCTGTTTTAAGACTTCAGGGCCCAGATTAGTTTCATCTAAGGACGTAATGGAAATGCCTTAACTTCCTGTAACATCCATGGAAAAATGTAGGCATCTTCAGAGGAGAATTAGGTGCAATAACACTACCTCTGGAAATCTCTCACTCCCTTTTAATTACAAGGTAGACTGACCCTAGCATAACCATGCTTCTAGCTCACAGTGCCTAAAGTTAGGCATACAAATCTGAGCCTAACAGCTTCACAGAGCCACAGTACCTTGAAGAGATCCTCAGCAATTTGCAACTTGTCGCACATCTCCGAGAAGAGATTTATATTGCCATGATCGAGTAACAGGTAGACAAACACCATGCGCTTGTTAGCTGCCTCCAGGAGGTCACAAAGAATCTCAGTGTCTGTGAACACATCCATCACGATAGCTAGCACCTAGGGGAAAAAAGCAGAGGCATTACCAGAGTCAATTTACGTAACTTAAGGTTGCCTGTGAGGCCACTGAAATGTAGTTTGTTTTAAAAAAAATATTCTAACAAACACAAATCTTTGGACATATATGTGGATATTTCTTCTGGTTTTCTCCGTAAGTTCCTGAATCAGTAAATCGATGAGACACATATTGCTTCATTGTTTTATTGCTCATATAAAGCCAATATAACATGCAACATACGCACTTCAGTTAAGCTCTTTTAATCATAAAACACAAAATGACCTGTGAATTTGTAGGTGAGATTTCAGCACTAGGAAATACATTGAAGTGCTAATCACAGAATAATAAGGATGCAGCTAAAATAAGAGACCGCAGCCCTTGCCAAATGGCTGACTAGCTTTCATAAGTCACATGCATTTAGCAAGAATCACTGGATGACGCTTTCTCTGTTATGACTTACACCTGGAACGGTCCTGGCTTTAAATCCTCACTGGTGGTGGTGGTGGGGCAACAGACTCCAACAGCTACATCTGTTTGGGGTTTTTCAGTAACAATTTATAAACTAATTGTTTCAATTTAACCATACAACCATGCTTCCCAACTCACAACTGGCAGGACAGTGTATAAAAGTCTCAGGACTGGGCATAAAAGCCCCAACAGCTACTTAAATGCACAGCCTCCAGCCAGTGTGGATCAAGGAACTGTAAATGTGATATAAAACCACTTCCATAGTCTAGCCCCTATGCTCAGCATTGGGCACAGCCTCATGAAGGTGCTGGTCTTCACTGACGTCTGCTGTTGTTCATGGAAAGGGTCATCTCCGCAGGGCAATTCCGCCCAGCTAATACCTGATTTATCTTCAGAAGGTGCCTATATCTCCATTGACTAGAAAGGCAACCCTTGTTAATTGCACTCACAGGATATCATCTTCAATCAAAACAAACTTTACAGTATCTCTGCAGATCTGTCTTACCAATTGCTTCCAACTTGCACTAAATCTTACTCCAAAGCCTGTGCCCACACTTACCAGCGAGCTTATTCCCTTCACCCCCACAAGGAAATCCTACAAGACTAAGCACATCCTGCACAGCCAGCATCCTGTTCAGGCAAGCCAAATTATTTGCAGAGCAGTGAGGATCCCACACCTTCGTTCTGCTGCCAAAGCATGGTGTTTCAGAAAGGGCCTCGCCAGTGCTACGTGTCACAATTTTGTCCAGTATGTCACATCCACTCTTACTGTTAACTCACCTGGTCTTTTTAAATGGCACAATATGCATCCAGCCTCACCGTAGCTCCAGACCACTCTCTAGTACTGCTTTTTCATCAGCTGTTCCCAATTTGTATTTCTGTACCTGACTTTCCTCTCTTACTTGCAGTATTTGTCGCTTCTTTTGCCCAAATTTCATTTTATGATTTGCACCTATCCCAAAAATGTGTTAAGATTACAGTACTACATGCCAATCCTCTGCAGTCTGGCTTAATCTACAAACACAGTCATTTTTCTGTTGTTTAAGTTGTTAATGGATATATCACATACTAGGCTATCCAGGATCGAACCTTATCAAATACTAATTAATAAATGCTGTCGTTGAAAAACTGTACTCAAAAAGCAGTTGCCAAATTTATACTGTGTGTAAGTGTTGCTCCAGCACCCTCTTGTAATGTAAATTAGATGGTTAAGAAGGTCATGTGAACCATGGATTTATATTACATTTCCCACTTTTTCCCCTACAAATTTTCTCCTCTTGAGACAGAAAATTGGCCTGGGTTGATACTTTACTGATGCTTATTTTACTATCAATCAGAGACATTTCTTCTGTTACTGAATCTTTCTGATGCCGCCAACTTAGAACGACTGATCTATAATTCCCCTGATGTGCTGAGCACCTGTAGCCTTTGACAGGGCAGTTGCCAACGGGGATTCTTCTCCCCTGCCATTACACTCAGTGTTGTCAGGCCCAGCACTTGCAGGAGAATAATAAAGCAAAAGTCCGTAACTCCAGTGGGCTTTGCAGCCTGTGCTGCACAGCAGGCACTGCAGCCTGGTATTGTTCCTGATTGTTCCCCTGTGAAACTGCTAGTGGCGTCTCAAGTTTATACAAGGGGAAAACTACCGGACGATGGTAAACACAGCACTGAAATGTCAAATATTTTTTTTCCAGGAAAACAGGAGAGCTGCCAGAACACACGACAGAGGCTTTTTGTCCCCCTCCAGCTGCTCAGCTTCTGGTTTCCCAGTGCACGGGCAGACTGGCTTGTGGCTGGCACCTCTCTGCGGCCCCCTTATCACTTTGTCTGTTGTCAGGGGCATCATCCGCACCTTTCTCACGTGCCAAGTTATGCTGCAGCGTCTCCATATGGAACCCACGTGGCATTTTTAGTGATACTGACAATGTATTAGGGATGAAAGGTCTTTTTTCTGAATAATTTCCTTCCTCTGTGGACAGCTGCTGGCACACCAGACACACATGCCCTTCTCTGGGCTCCCCTTCACCCACATCTCCCACGAATACCCTGAAACAATTGCTAATAGCTCAGAGCTCGCTTTAGCTTAATTCTTGTTACCGGTGCAATGGTCTGAACAGAGCAAATCATCCTGCTGGTGATGCATGAGAAGGGACAGAGCCCAGCTGCCCTTTCTATGGCACATTTGCTCTGCTGGGTTAATGGGAGTTTAAAAGAAGAGGGAATGCTTTTTTTTTTAAGTCACCAACATAAAAAGGTGTTGGAGTGAGTACCAAAAACAAAAAAGGAATGCCTGTGTTCAACAATGGGCTCTTTACAGCCCCTTTCTTGAACAAAGCTACACTGCAACACACAAGGCCGGCTCGGATCAAATACCACGTTTAGCTGATCTTTTTAAGAGCAGGAAGACAACCGAGTGCAGAGGAACAGCAATTCTCTCCCCGTACCTGAGTGGTCTTGTTGATGTACCGGCGTATGATGTCTCTAATGTTGCTGTTCTTCTCTGTTTGGAAATACACAGTAGCAGTGGATTTTTCCTTTAAATAGGGCTTCTCTGCTGTAATCCATGTGTGCAGCAGAGCTGGCTCACTGCTGTCAGAAATGGTGGGGAAGTAGGTCCCTGAAGGGAGTGACCCGGTATCGTTCTGCTTTGGTGCAGTCGCCCCGTCGGCAGCCAGGGACTCCTGCGCATAATAGGACTCCCTGGTGTTATCCTTTATATACTGAGCTTCCACTGAGGAGAGGAAATCCACCTCGCCTTCTTTGCTTAAAGTTTGGAGGTAAGAGTCTGTCCCACCGTCCAGGAAGGCGTCGGTGGCCAACCTTATGCTTTCGTTGTGGCTGAAATCCGCTTTTGTCAGCTTCTGGGACTGGTTCTTGATATCCTCCAGCCTTTTCCTTATCTTGCCCATGTGTCTGGAGTGGCTCATGGCTCTCTGTCGCAGCAGTCGATCTGCCAGGCAGGCACCATGCATTTGCGTGGCGCAGGCAGCGTAATCATCCTTGTTCGGAGACTGCATTCTGGCGTGAAATCGCCTCAGCTGAACGAATTAACTATGAATAAAAATAAAGAGATCTTATTACCTCAGGCAAATTCACACTCCCTGATTTTGTTGGTACAATTATCTTCAAAAAAAACCCAAAGCTTGCTTCTCAGGTGGTGGTGTACTTCAGCAACAATCTGTTTCCAGATGGAACACAAGTGCAAAGCTGATTAGATTGCTTATCTGAGAGGCACCCACCTCACCCCCAGGGCATACGAAGGACTCGAGTCCAATTACCAGGGCCGTCGGATTCGGTTGTATTTCCCTTCCTGTTGCATCCTGTGAAATGTGAGGGAAGAAAGCACTCAAGCAAAAGCAGGTAGGCTCCCAAGCATCGTTGCACAATCTTCAAAACAGCTTGAGGCTTCTCTGTCTTCCCATAGTATTCGTTAGGGAGCAAAAACAACACTGACGTTGAACTGGGAGAGAGACATCAGCCATGTCCCTAGCTTCAGAACAGCAGAAAGGGTCACGGACTCTTGTCTGGACCCACATGCTGCCAGGCAGGCTTAAAAATAGACTTGAACTTCGTCACTGTGCCCCATTCATAGTATGTTGCTATTACCATAGACGATTCACTCATTTATTTCTTTAAAGCTTTGTGACTACGCCATCCTATTAAAAGAAAAATACCCCTTCCCAAACATCCTGAATATTATGTGGAGGGAGGGTTGTGAGCTGGCCTCAAAGCATCAGAAATACAAACACTCATCACTTGATTGTGCACATTTAGGGCTGTTTGGTTGGGTTTTTTTTTGTTTGTTTTGTTTTTTTTTTTTTTCCCAGGCTGCAGCTTCTGGAGTCACGTTGTCCCCGTGGCAGCTCAGCTGCTGTGTCATTAGCAGGACAGAGGCAGAGGTTCGCAGCGGGGTGAAAGGCGCAGTGCCTCCAGGGAGCCAGGCCAACTGGTATGACTGCGCGGGGGCAAGGAGAGGCAGGGTGGGAAGGCACCCTGCCTGAGGTACGCCATAAATACCTGTATGCATACTTTTACACAGAGGCACGTGTGACACAGTTTTCTCACACAGGCTGGGTTTGCCCTCGCCCTGCATAGCTCTCTATCAGTGCACCAGCATGTCATGGCTCCAGAGGGGAGTGGAGGATCGAGGGGACATGCCAGTCTGGGCTTTTGCACAGGGGTATGGGCTGCTGAGAGCACATCTGAGCAGGGAAAGGCTCCTGCCACTCTGACCAATGTGCTCCGGAGCATGGACATCTTCAGGGCCACTTGGAGTGACACAGGCCCAGTTTTTCCAGGGTAGCTTCCCAGATTCTGGGTCTATGTCAGATGCCTTATGGGGGGGAAAAAGTAATTATATGTGAGGATGACACAAACATATATATATATATATATGAAAAGAGAAAAGGGTATGAAATGGTTCGGATTTTAATCCCGTAGCCACAAAGGGCTGGAAACACCCACTGGGGGACAAGGAGAGGTGGTGGTGAGGCCCGTCCCTGAGCTCCTGGCGTGATTTTAAAAACTATCCCGTCCCTCCCCCCACCCCCAACATCCGCCCGCAGCTGTCAGACGCGGCAAAAAGTCACTAATTATCTACTGACCTGTTCCGCGCAATTATGCCGAAAATGATGCCGCCTAATTAACCTGACGTGTAAGATCGCGCCCTGTCAACGCCAACCAGGGCCTACCCGCAGCAGGGCTGTTACCCCCCGCCTTGGCCAGGGCCAGCGCTGTCGCCTCGGGTCCCACACGGTCACCCCGATGTCCCACATCACGGTCACAGCAGGGCCCCACACAGGCCACCCGAGGTTGTCACCACGGGGCCACGCAGCGTCACCCCAGGGAAGCCCCGCTGTCACCCTGGGGTCCCACACGGTCACTCCCCACGTCCCACGTGGCCACCACAGGACCCCACACGGTCACCCCGGAGCTCCACGGTCACCACAAAGCCCCGCACCATCTCCACAGGGCCCCGCTCAGTCCCTGCGGGGTCCCACAGCGAGGCTGCCCGGCACGGAGCCCGCTGGAGCGGCCAGGGGAAAGGCCGGGCCGCCCCTCCCGCCCCTTCTCTTCCCGCGGCGGGGCTGAGGCGACGACCGGGCCCTCAGCGGCTCCGGCGGGGCGCGAGGCCGCCGGGGCGGGGCCGAGGGGCAGCGTCCAGGCCGAGCGCGGGGAAGATGCGACCAGCCGCCTCGTTAGCGCAGTAGGTAGCGCGTCAGTCTCATAATCTGAAGGTCGTGAGTTCGATCCTCACACGGGGCAAAGGCCGGCGTCTCTTTTCTTCCCGCGGCTCCCCCGCTTTTAGCTGGGAGGGAGCCACACAAACCTGCCCTCTAACCCCCCGGCGCTGTCGTTGCTGTCGTGATTTATGAAGCCGTAGTTCCAGGGCAAGGACCTGTGCCTCCTGGTTGTGGGCTCACAGAAATAATGTCTGCAACGCCTGTTGTTAAAAGATGCACTTTTGGCAGCGGGTTGCCTGCATCCAAGCTGTCTGCAAGCCCATCTCGGCATTTGGGAGTGAGGAAAGGGGTCCGGATCCTGCGGTGGGCTGTGGGGCGCAGGCAGCGGGCAGGGACGAGGAAGGGCTCTGGGTGCACACACGGGCAGGGGCTCCTGCCTGCTGCAAACGCTCCCCCTTACACCTATTTACAACTGCAACGTTTTTACCAACCGTACGCATGTACGCACATGGCCCAAGTTGCTAGCCAAAAACTTTGTGGGTTTATTTTCTCCCTTTAAATATAATCACATGTAAACTCCAAGACAGTCATCAGAAAAAGGCAATTTTCTCATCTACTCCTCCTGCTTCCCAAAGATGATCTTTACTTGTTGCATTCTCATCCCTTTTTGAAAAAAAAACAACCCAACCAACGCCTCTTCCCCGCACTCTGCTGCGGTCTGTGATGAGATTTCTGTGGATCCTGGTCGCTATGAATGTGACTGGTTCTGGTTCCAGACGCAGAGGATGCTAACGTGAGGATAACGAAGCACCTCTGTGCATTTAAGCCTTCATGTAATTTAAGGACAAAGAGGTGCTGTTTAGCGGTACCGTCTGGGTCTGCCCTCCTCTGCGCGGTGCTTCAGCACCCACAGGGCACCACGAGCAGTCCCGCTCTGATGCTGCTGCCCCAAAGAGCGCCAGCAAAACCCCATGGGAAGCAGAACAAATTAAGTAAATTCCAGGTCCTCATATTTTCACACAGCCAAATCTACTCCTATATCAGCATCGTGTGCAGCAATTATGAATCATTCACTTTATTTAACTTTGCCTCATTCTTTTTTACTGCAACACCACATAATGTTCTACTCTTGGGTCAAAAAATATTAGCCATTGACAATCAGCGTAGCAGCATGGAAAACAGCATATTTATTTAGATGCTCTCTCCCTTTCTTTCTCATGAAAGGAACCTGCTAGTATGTGTAACAACCATATGTATCATCTCCAGCAACGGAGGCTCCACAGCCTCTCTGGGCCTTGTTTTCAGTGTTTAGCTCTCAATGGGAAGGGTTTTTTTTCTCTAATTGCAAATTTCCCTGCTGCAACTTGTAGAATCCACTTACAAATCACTGACAAAACAACATTTTAACAGTGGTTTGTTTCTTCAGGTCATGGCATCCACCAGAACAAATAAAGTATACAAATACTGCAAGTGTAATAATTTAATGGTAAAAAGTGAGTTTATTTTAGAAGTACAGCATTATAGTTACTAAGAAAATAATGAGGTTACAAACAACATACATTTTTCTAGCTAGCATTTTATTTTTATATAAAAATATTTCCAAAGGTCTTTATAATAAACAATCTATGATCAGTCCTTAATCACACTATACATATTTAGCATTTTGCTGATTAATAATTTGAAAGTACAGCTGAGGTCCAGAGCAAACTGTCTCAAGGTGTCCACTTTGTAGCTGGGAAACGAGTTGGAGGATGTCTAGTTCGAGTTCGAGCCCGTGAGGTAAGCTTTTGTCTGAGCTGTCTGACTTCTGCCATCAGTTCCCGCTCTTGGCATGCCAGTTCTTCTCGTCTTCTGCCTAAAGACACTTAAGTGGAAAAAACTTGGACTTAATATTACAACTAATGGTTTTCCATAAATACTATGAATGCTTATTGGAAAAGAGGTATCTCTGGCATAGAAATGCTATGTTTTATCAGTACCACTGTATGCAAGACAGCCCTAAGACCTGTAAAAGCAAGTTCTTTGAAAGTGGTGCCTGTGTTTTGTTACAAAAAGGTCAGATGCTGATGGGTCGCTATGGCAGGTCCACAGATACGTGTTTCCCATTGTGTGCAGAGTTTTGTACATAAGATGCATGTGATTTTAAAAAGCACTTTCACTGGCCATAATGGCTAGGACAGCCCAGAGGAAATGATTACAGATTAATTCCCGACTATAACTTTCAGTAAGATTTTGATGAAACATCTTCTCAACACCCCCAAATCATACATAACTATGAAGACAGAAAAACCATAGGTAAAATAATCAGGTCAGAATGGGATTAAAACTAGGCTGAGGTTTAATAGGACCACTCTCATAATGCAACACACTTCAGGCACTTCCTACCTGTGCTGCCCCTGGTAGCAAAGACATTTTTTTCAGGTTTGAGATAGACAGAATACAACAATAAATTGGTTTACTATCCACTAAACACCTACACAACTAATAATGACTCAATTGCACAATGAGGTGTTCCAGTAATGCTTCTGAAATTAAATGTGAAAGAAAGGAGGGTCCTAACTTAGAAACTTACTGTGTGATGATGGCTCTGAGGCAGACAAATCATTCAGACAGACATTTCCTGACCTTGGCACCTGTTGGAGTTCTACCCCTCTCTCTGTACGTCTGGCCTTTAAATCACGCAGTCTCTCTGTGGGAAATGGAGAGAAGGATTCTTTGTAAACTAAAAACATTTAAATTTCTAGTGAATTTTTCTAGCT